TGTTCACTTTTAATATAAGCAAGCTGGGTGTGGGTGTACATCGATATACATTTGCAAAGGTAATGCATTCTATAGGTATTGTCATGTGGGCTTAAACCTACAGAAATTATGCCAAAGACAAAAAAGCAACAGTTACTAAGAAAATTCCCCAGTTGAAACCATAAAAATGTCTCATTTCCGGCTTTTCTAAATTTGAGGTATTTCGAGGGGCTTACGGCTGATCTAATATCAGGAAGAAATATTTTGGATTCAATAAAGACACCTATAGCTCCACCTGCTGACCGAGTCCTAACCCTGCATGAGGAGTGCTGAGCAGGACACCCTTCCAGTGGTTGGTCTCCAGGCAGAGGTGCAGAAGGGGACACAAAAACAAAAGAGGACACCAGCCTGGCCATTACTAGCAAGTCACCAAGGCAAAAAGTCCTAAAAACGTTTAAACTTCCCCTTTTCTAATATTTATAGTAAAGTAATTAGTACCAAAGAAAAGTTTTCTACATATCAACAAAGTACTCTACTTTATGATAACTGGAATAAGAGTAAAATATAAATAATTTAAATAAATGTCATAGTTGTATATATATTGTTTTCATTAAAGCTTTTGCTTATCCTCATGGTTAAAGTGAACGGAAACACTACTTGCACCTCAGAAGATCTGGGTGGGAACAAGAACTCACACAAATTACACACTCCATGTTTACTTTCGGCCCACATCCATTTTTATTAAAACACAAACCCTGGGCCAGCCAGCAGCATAGTGGTTGAGATGCTGGACCCCTTGTTGCTGACCCTACGGCTCAAGTCCTATATCCAGTACCTTGAAAAACACATTGGGAGGGAACCAGCAGTTAGCGTAATGGCTATGTCGCTGGACTCCCACATAGTCGACCGCGGTTCGTGTCCCGGACCCGGTGGCTTAAAAACTCATGCCGGGTGCGTGTGCGTGCGTGCCCAAGATCCCGGAAGGAGAAGGGATTGCGGCGTGACCATCCCCCCTGGGGGGTGATTTCTCGCTTTCTGTCTCTATGTCTCTCTCTGTCTGTCTGGCGAGCGCACGCGTCCTACAGTGAAAATCTCTCCAAAAAAAAAAAAAAAAAAGAAAGAAAAACACGCTGGGAGCATGTACGTGCATGTTCAAAATCCCAAGAGGAAAATGGAGAAGGGACTGCAGCATGGCATTCCCCAAGAGGGTAATTCTTCACCTTTCTTCTCTCTCTCTCTGGTGAGTACACACTTCTATGGGAAAAAAAAAAAGAAAGAGAGAGAGAAAGAAAGAAACCTAAAAGACTGTATTTGTAGGTCCACATCAAAAATAAGAACTCCTCTGGGGCCAGCAGGTGGTATGGTAGTTAGGGTGCTAGACTCCCACATGCCCACCACAGTTCAAATCCTGGACCTGGAGGCTTGAAAATCACACCAGGCACTTGTGCATGCATGCCCACAATCCTAGGAGAAGGAACTGCAGGCTGGCCATCCTCTCTAGGGATGATTTCTCACCTTCCCTCTCACTGTCTCTGTCTGTGTGTGTGTGTCTGTGTCTGTCTGTCTCTCTCTCTCTCTCTTTCTCTCTCTCTGGTGAAGGCAAACACCCTATGGCAAAAACCTTTAAAAAAAAAAAAAAGAAAGAAAGAAAACGCCTCATAACCAGCTACATTCCTAAGTATCTCTCTAAAAACAGCCATTATTTCACATATCCACCAGCCATAAAAATATAACACAAATTATTTTAAACATGGTAACAGCATTCCCTATACAACTAGAGAGAGACAAATGAGATACAACCTACTGAAATACACTTAGATGCTAAAACATGTCCTTCTGTCAAATCTCAGTCATTCACATATATTCTCACCTTATTGCACAAAACAAGAATAAAAATTTTCCAACAATTACGTCAGCTGAACAGAAAAAGAAAATGGTTAAAACGGTCTTTAAATAATGCCCAGCATCACTTGCAGGCACTAGGAGAGGCTGCTCTGGAGAGGCTGCTCTGGAATCTCCCCTGAGATACAAGTACCTAAGAGACAAATTCTGCCATGCCTGTTTCTCTCCCTGGAGCAACGAGGCTCACAGGGAGGGTCAGGGAGTCTCTGCCCCTGAGGTTTTCTGACAACACCTGGCACATGCCAAGGACTCCCCAAGCCTGGTCATTCTGCCTTCTCTGGACACACACTCGGGGCTCTCTATTCTCTCCTTGGAGGCAGCAAGCATGGCAGGAGGACAGGGCCAGGCTCTGTGACATCTGCTCTACATCAGAAACATAGCTGCCTTGTTCTCTCATGTAAAACTCCTTCTTAACCCAGCTCTCAACCCTCTGATGGACTGTGCTTCCCCAGTACAGAGTGGCAGAGCCGATCCAGTGAGAGGTTGTGGGCACTGTCCAGTCTGCAGCATTTCCCTGTGTCAGAGGACAGCAGCATTCGGGGCCAGAAAGCCACAAAGAGGTACAGAAATCCACAGGAGGGACACTCAGCAGCCAGAAATAAACTGGCAATGAGGGATAACAACTACTGAATTGGAAAAAAGCCCATGAATCATGCTGATACTCAAAATATCAAGTGCAGCTAATGAGTGTAGGAAGAATAACAGAATTAGAAAGATCACTGTATTGCTGCTCACACTCAGCATAATCGCAAATTGAGGCAAAGATCACAGATGATGTCAGACCCATCAGATGAAAAGCTGCTGGGGAGTAAGATACTCACACATCTCAAAGTGTCACTCATTCCAAAGGGAAAAGCATGCCTTTCTCAGGGGAAGACCTGGCAGACAGCGCCTTAACCAAGGAGACAGCAGACACCTGGCATATGTGCTTTCTGGTGGGATGCAGAGACAGCACACAACTATGGCTGAGAAGCACTTTTGTCAACAAAGGAAATCATGAGAAAAATACAGAACCTGAGGCATTTGACAAGATAGCTAGCTTAGATTCTGCAGAAAAAATAGTCATAAAAATGATATTAGTGGGTGGAGGACCATTCTGGATTAAAAGAGGTCAAAAGGCATAATGCTTAACTATAATGAGTGAATGCTGATTAAATACTCAATCTAAAGAAGTAACAAAGACAGGACCAGCAGATGACGTTAATAGTTACATCGCTAGACTTCCACGTAGGCGACTGCAGTTTGAGTCCTGAACCTATAGGCTTAAAACACACCGGCCATGTGTGCATGCATGCCCAAAATCCCAAGAGGAGAATGGAAAAAAAGGGATTGCAGCATTGCCGCCCCCCCCCCACACCCTGTGGGGGTGATTTCTCACTTTTTGTCTCTTTGTCTCTTAGGCGAGTGCAGGTGCCCTATAGCAAAAAATCTCTCAAAAAAATAAAGAAAGAAGTAACAAAGACATACTGGGGACAATTGGGTAAATATGATTATGAGCAAGACATTAGATGGTATTACAAAATGTTTTCAATCTTTTAAGAATTACATTTTATTTAACTTTATTTATTTATTTACTTTAATTTGACCAGAGAGGGACAGAGTGAGAGAGAGGGGGTTAGGGGAGTAGTGAGAAAGCAGCTGCCAGGTCCAGGACTCAAACCCCAGTCAGTCATATGGGAATCTAGCACCCTTAACCACCATACCACTTGCCGGCCCCAAAGTTGTTCATTTTCTTAGGTATCCACCTAAAAATGGTACTGAATTAGGAGAACATCCTTACTCTTAGAGATACATATGAAGTATTTACTTTCAAAGGGCCTAGCTAAAGAAAATATGTGTATATACTTCACACATACAGACAGATGTATATATACACATATAGAGAGATAAAAAGCAAATATGGTGAATAAAAATAAGAGGTAAATCTGGGTGAAGGGTAAACAGGAATTTATCATACTATTTTCTGAACTTTTATGTAGGCTTGACACTTTTCGAAATAAAAAGCTTAGGAAAAATGCTGCTAGGCTCAGGAATAGACAACCCGCCAGGCCTGAGTGCCTGACTGCAAGCCCCAGCAAGGGACAGCTTGGCAGCAGAATGGTCACTTTCCTTCCAGGAAAGTGGGCTGCTAGTGGTGCACCCAGGCCCAGGCAGGCATCTGTATGATGTTAGACGCCAGAGCATGACACGTGTAAGCTAACGGGGTAGAGAAAGCAATCTGACCCCATGGCCTTTTACCCGCCACGAGGCAATCCTGGAGTTGGGTAGGCAGGACTGAAGCCTACATGAGGATAGAGCTCGTGGGTCTGATGAGACCCATGCTGCCTGGGATGGAGTGACTACACCATACTACGTTCAGTCACAGAGGACGTAAGAGATTTTCTATTACTATGGCTACTGTTACCCAAGCTTATAGAATAAACACCCACCTTGTGTTGAATTCAGTAAGTTAACACACACAAAGCTCTTAGAACAGTCCCAGTTACCCAGCCAGATCTACGCACATTGTTTACTGCTCACCACTAATATCCCAGCAGGCCTGAGTCCTATTTCAAGTTTCTTTCAAAACTCTGTCCTAGTTACCTTTTGAACATTTTATTAACATTTGAAGATTACATCTAAAACTGAAGATCTAATGTTAAACTTATAAAACAGATGTTCCTATTTTGGAGTAACCAAATGAATGAGTATTCATCCTTCTGTCCGTGCTTGTGAATCTTCTCCCAGAATATATCCTAGAAATACATGTAATAACTAAAATCAAGGTACAAAGACCTAGTAAGTGGCAGGGGCTGGCCATCCTGGCTAGAGAACATGGTCTTCCTTCCGGTCAACCTCGCTGGTCTTGAGTGTTTTCAGAACCTTTACTGACTTCTTTCCCCCCACAGCCTCATCCCAATCCTACTCAATTTCTTGAGAATATCAATGTCTTCCCTTAATCTCCTAAATACTTTGAAATCCCATTGAAAATGGAGCTGAATGTTTGGGAAAATACCAGTCATTTTAAAAGGTAGAGTTGGAAACATTGAAAATTAAGCGTAAAATTAAAGTTTAATGTCAACCCATAAAGCTTCTTTCATGGGTAGTTAAGAATAGATCTCTGAACAAATGTGACTCACTCTGTGTGTCCCTGGAAAACATTCACTGAATGTATGGAAGGGTCCCTGAAGTCCCAGAGGCGGAAGGTCGTATCACGGGAGGAAGTCACCACGAGCCGCTGGGTGGGGTGTGTGCAGCAGTGTGTCAGCTCCTGGTCGTGCCCTACAGCCAAGACGACAGAGTTGCAAGGTCAGTCACTGCAGACACATGATTAGAGTGAAGTTTGTTTAAGAACACAAGAATCAAAAGAACCATCCTTATGGACTTCACAGGTAATATCCAATGGAACAGTAGGTCCAGTTTTCCTCAGAAGCTGAAAGTTCTTTCAGCCATTCACTAGAAAGGAGCAGAGAACAAGGCAGACACATAACCCATTGCGTGATCCTGACATCTAGAAGGTCAGGCAAATCACTTTGACAGGCTGAGTGTGTTAATAGCTTAAATCTTAATTCTTCACTTTTAGAGTAACTTCTAGTAATACCATACTGTGGGTACTCAGTAAAATACAACCTTTAACACTCTATTAGGAAATGATGCACTGACTGACAAAACTGCAAAAACAAGTGTAGTGGGCAGAATCCTAAAATGGCCCCCAACACCCCCATACATGGGTATACTATATTTCCTTTCCCTTGAACAAAGCCTGTAAATATGACATATCTCTGTGATAAGTCTGGTACACGGTAAGGCAAAAAGGGTTTTGCAAGTATAACTGAGGTCCCTAAAACAGAGCTGACTGTGAGTTCTTGGGAGGCCTATCCTTTAGAAGGATGTAGGGCCTCCCCACAGCAGAGATATGCTCCCACTGGCCTGGAAGAAAGCAGACTGCCAAGTAGCAAGAAGTTTCTGGAAGGGCCTCCAGGGACCTGGGGACTACCTCCAGATGCTCAGATCAGTCAGTAAGAAAATGGGGACCCCAGTCACATAGCTGCAAAAAAATGGGATTCTTCTAGTGACCAGCAAGCTTGAGAGAACCCAGCAAGTCTCAGGGAGGTCCACCTAGATAACACCTTCGCTTCAGCCTGTGAGGCACTGAGCAGAGGAGCAGCTGCCATGGACCTAGAAACACTGACCCAAAAATCATGGGGTAATAAATTCTTGTTGTTTTAAGGCATTGAGTTTGGAGAAATTTGTTACAGAATAGAAAGCCAATACAAGCCCATGTTCCAAATTTCTAGATAGTACATGTTACAATTAAATCCCTGAAGGATAAAATAAATTTGGCTACAAATAGTTCTATTAATTGGAAACATCTTCAAAAGTAAAACCAAAGAAGGGAATCAAAATAATTCTGCCAAGAAGCAGCTTGCAAGATGAGACATAAATACATAAACATAAATCAAAAGTGAGCAATTAGGAACTTCAGGTGTTTACAGGAAGGTACCTGTCAGAGAGTGGACAAGTTCAGAGGTCTCCACATCATAGAGGTTAGCAGTTCTGTCCCAGGAGGCTGTCACCACTTGCTTCCCCCCAACTAGCCAGTCAGCAGCTATCACCACTCCCTGGTGGCTTTTGAGACAGGTCAGCGGAACACGAACAGTGGGGCAGTCACTGGACACATCTCCATCGACGTCAGGTTCATCTTTATCAGAGCACTCAATTTCATCTTCTCCAGACATTTGTTGCTAAGAGTAAGACAAGAGAGGAAAGAAGTTCCCTGGGGATCGGATCTATTCAACCATTCTGTTCCACTTATTTTTGTAGGATTTACTTATCATTAGGGTCAACACCAACATGGTTCCTGGCTCATAACCAGCCCTTGATAAGTGTTTACCAACTTTCTCAGCTAAAACCCAAGAACACAAAAAAGAAAAAATATTCAGGCCACCATGACACCAAAGGAGCTACAACCCATTTCCACTAGCAAAATATTTTTTAATATTTTAAGGTCTTGCCACTTATTAGTACAAATGTAATATTAAAACTAAGCACATACACGGGAATCAGCAGTTAGCGTAATGGCTATATCACTGGACTCCCACATACTCTATCGCGGTTCACATCCCGGACCCGGTGGCTTAAAACTCATGCCGGGTGCATGTGTGTGCGTGCCCAAGATCCCGAGAGGAGAATGGAGGAGAAGGGATTGTGGCATGACCATCCCCTCTGGGGGGTGATTTCTCGCTTTCTGTCTCTATGTCTCTCTCTGCCTGTCTGGCGAGCGCACACGCCCTATAGCGAAAAACCTCTCAAAAAACAAACAAAAAAAAAAAAAACTAAGCACATACAATCGAAAGTCAGTAATTTACCATAATGAAAATAAGCATTTCAATTTTCAGAGCCTGTTTAAAATATTGGGTCTTCAGAAAAGTCATGATGTATTTTTCTGTTTTTCTATGCAAAAATGTGTCATGGCTTTTCTGATAACCTAATACTTACAATTTTATCACTACAGAAGTAAGAAAAAGGTCATTTACTTTATCGTCCTACGATGCCAGTGTGAAACATTAATAGCCAGTTCTCTTAGAAAATACACTTTTTCTTTTTATTAAAAATTATTTTATCTTTATTTATTATTATTTTTCAGTTTGATCAGAGAGCAAGAAAGAGAGAGAAAGTGAGAAAGCAATCCCACCAGGTCCAGGACTTGAACCGCGGTCAGCCATGTGGGAGTCCAGCACCTTTAATCACCACACTACCTGCCAGCCCTGAAAATAAACTTTTTCATTCAAAAAATATTTATCAGATGCTAACAATCAGATGCTGGCTACATAGCAGAGAAAGAGAAAAACAATCTCTAACACATACGAGTTTGAGACATGTTCATTCCAAGTGACAAGAACACTGGATAAACAAGCCTGGCAGAATCCCTGACCTCACAGAACTTTTGCCCAAGCAAGGAAGAGACCATTCATGCATCCATGCACACTCATGTGCCCACATACATACACTATGGTATAGTAATGCATGTCACATATAAGCACATTAGCATGGGAACACATCATACATACACACACATTAGTATGACAAAGTGTCATGCACACTAGTTAGTACAAGAATGTATGTCACATACACACTAGCATGGGACTATGTCATATCTACACACATGTTAGCATGAGAACGTGTCTCTCACACACACACACTAGAATGGGAACATATGTCCTATGTAGGTACATACAGAGTCAGGCAGTAATAAGTGCTACAAAAAAAAAAAAAATCAAGGCAAGGGGTAGAGGGAACCAGCAGTTAGCGTAATGGCTATGTCGCTGGACTCCCACGTAGTCAACCGTGGTTCGCGTCCCGGACCCGATGGCTTAAAACTCACACTGGGTACGTGTGCGTGCGTGCCCAAGATCCTGAGAGGAGAAGGGAGAAGGGATTGCGGCGTGACCATCCCCCCTGGGGGGTGATTTCTCGCTTTCTGTCTCTATGTCTCTCTCTGTCTGTCTGGCGAGCACACGCGCCCTATAGCGAAAACTTCTCAAAAAAAAAAAAAAAAAAGAAAGAAAAGAAAGAAAGACAAGGGGTAGATACTCAGGGGACTGCTAGTTTATACCAAATTATTTAGGAAATACTCTAATAAAGTAACATTTGAGTCGGAATGTGAAGAAAGCCAGGAAGTGAGGCATGCAAATACTGAGGGGAACAGCCTTCCAGGCAGGAGTAGCACCAGTGCAAAACCCGTGTACGATATAAATAGGTCATCTTGCACACCTGTGCATGGGCGTGGGGATGAGGGCATGGGAGAGAGCCTGTAAAAGGTGAAGTCAGAGACATCACTCAGGAATTCCTCATTGCTCATGTAAACCCGGACAGGCCAAGGAAAGGATGCTATTTTATCATGTATGACGGTGAGCCACCACAAGGTTTTGAGCAAGGACATCATATAATCGGATTAATAATGCTGTGAGAACATACCACAGGGAGAAAGACAAGAGAAGGCTGTGAGGACTGACTGTGTCTCCCCAAATTCATATACTGAAGCCCTAATCCCCAGGCTCCCAGAATGTGAGTGTATTTGGAAACAGAGCCTTTAAGGAGGTGATTAAGGTAAAAACATGGCTGTTCGAGTGGGCCCTAATCAAACAGGACTAAGGTCCTTGTAAAAAGAGACTGGGACATAAACACACAGAGAGAAACAAATGGGAGAAAGAAGATAGTACTTACATGCCAAGGAGTGAGGCCTAAGAAAAACTGGCCCTGCCCACACCTTGATCTCGGACCTCCGGCCTCCAGAACCATGAGATCGCAGATGTGCCTAAGTGTCCTGGTGTGTGGACTGTTCTTACAGCAGCCTTAGGAAACCATGGCGGGAGCCGACAGGGTAAAGATTCAGAAGTGCATGTGAGGGAAAGTAGCCAGATTAGAGTGGTATTAATAGAAGTGAGAAGAAAGGTTAAATTAAAACATCCTCAAGGAAACCTTCAGGTCTGTGCTAGGCTGATATATACATGGAATATAAGAAAATCATAGATGTTCACAGGCAACCTAACAGTGTCTGGTCTAAGTCCCTGGGCAAGTGACGGTGACAGTTCCTGAAACGGGAGCAATGATGGAAGGAGCAGGATAGGGCCACCAGGGCAGAACTTCAATGGAGGAGAGGTCTGTGGGCAGGTGAGGGGGTGCGGTGTCAGGAGAGGGGGAGGCCTGAGGGCTGGCTGGTGAGTGGGTAGAGCCTTAGGAAAGGGGAGGCCCAGCCAACAGGAAGCAAGAGAAAAATAAGAAATGAGAGAAACAGGTGTGAGAATGAACCCGAGGGGTGGCTGGAGAGTGTCCACTTGAGGACAACATGGAAGGGGACATTGATGGTGGGGCCCAGAAGGGTAGACAGACACAAAGCTGACTCAAGAGAAGTGAGTCTCTGGAATGAAAAGTGTGCAGGTGACACTTCCAGGGAGTTGGCACTGGGGAGCCAACACGGTGGTGGCTCTGGTAGGCTGTGGGATGAAGAGTGATAGTACTGCAGCATACCCCTGTGCCATTGGGAAGGACACAAGAGAGGAATGTCCTGACCACACAGGGCAGACATCCACGAGGAGGAGGGGACAAGCACAATACACAAGGACACTGGTGCCAGGACATAGGAGACAGGGGAAGCAGAGTGTACAAGTTTCCTCAGTTTCATTTTCTCCTTGAAGGAAGAAGCCAGAGGCCAGCTGACAAGGTGTCAGGAAGGTGGCTGGAGGGAAACCAGAACATGTCAGCCAGGGTGTGGTGAAGTTGTGAACAGAGAGGTATAATGGAGTGTTGCAGGGCCCAGTCATGTGGAAGCCAAGATCTTAAAGTACAAGGGGTCAGCAGTGCAAGAGAGGAATAGAGGACACATGGGTTTAACTAGAGCTGAGATTTCTCCAGGGAGAGGAGTACTTAGAACCTAGTGATGGCAAAGAACTGCTTAGGTGAGACTGTGTTACATGAACACAAAGCATGGGGTGTTTAAGAGCGTCCAAGGATGGTCCAACTCTCTAAGGAGACAATATCTGAGGGCAGCCTAGAACAGGTTCGAGAAGCTGGACCCAGAAGGGAGACAAAAGGCTGAGGTCAGGGCAGCAAGAGCAGTTCAGTGAGGAAGAGAGTGATTAGAAATGGCTAGAAAGGTGGGAATGATACAGTCAAAACAGGCCCTGCACACCAAGAAACCATTTTTGGAATTCATCCTGAAGGCAAAGGGGTGTCTCTGAGGCAACAGGACAGCATGAGAGAAAGCTCACTCCTGATGGAGTACACAAACAAAACTAGCTGTGGACAGAGAGACAGTCAGGCTGCAACTGCAGCGACCTGGCCAGAAAAGACGACGACATAAATCTGTGGGGTGTTAGGAGTTAACAAAAGCCCTCCCTTCTGCCTGAGATGAGAGCTTTGCTCCCTAAAGGGTGGCTTTGTTCCCAGGTGATGCTGTTCAAGGTAAAAATGACCCGACTGGTAAACTGCATCTAGCCTGGGAGGAACTCTACATTCATTATCCATTCCTAATGGCCCACTGCCACCACTCCACACTTTGTGTCTGGCTGACTCCTATCCCTGGCACGTCCCTGGGCTGCCTGTGAAGTTATTCAGGAGACACAGGTCCTGGACCATCTGATTTCTCAGCTCCCACAGTTACTCCTATGGGTCCTATTCACCTGCACTGTCCCCTGGGTGAGGAGGAAGAGCACAGTCTGGGTGGCTTTCTGTACAGGTGTGCAAACAGGGTCCCTGCAGAAAAGGCGTGGGATACGTATCCTCTGGCTCACTATGTCCTGTCTGTCCTGACCTCTCTATGTAACCTGACCCCAGGGGCAGCCCATGGCCTGAGCAGTGGGTATTACAGAAGACGTATTGTGTAGACAGAGAAAAGTGAACACAGGAATTGTTAGGGAACTAGAGTCAGCAAGATTTCACGGATTAGCAGGAAATGGGAAGAGGGCATGAAAAGAAGAATGCATCAAAGATAATTCAAAACTTCCTAACAGTTTTGTTACTGCTGCGTGGCTGACCTAAAACAGTGGACTAGACAAGCTAGTCACTGAAACATCAATCTGTGACAGAAGGAATAAACCACCAGCCATTCGAGGAGAAAACACCTCAGACAGGAGACATCTGGGCGCTCTGGGATAAGAATGTGTTAGATTTGGATCACATTTAGAGAGAAGCACTTGAATGGCCCAGTTCTCTGGACAACATGGGAGGGACCATGTGAGAGGGG